TTTAAAAAAGCACTTTGAGAAACTGTAGTTAGTCATAAAGAAATAAAACACTACATAGAATTCAAATAAGACAATTCTGTAAGGAGGGCGTCCTGGATCTGAAACTGGATGGCAATAATCACTCCTGTGAATCACAATGTGCAAAGTAATGTGGAAAGATAATTAGAAAGGAATACTTTCTTTGTGCAAGCATTTTAACTTTTGTGGGTTTTTAATGAATGACCTTCAGTTTGCTTGAACATGTTTTTTTTTTTCTTATTTCCATTTAGACAGAAAATTTTGGAGGAAAAAAAAGCCTAATTTTCAGGTTAGAGGAGGTCTGAAATTAAAAAAGTTCAGGGTTTTAATAAAAAGAGCCACATTTAAAACTAAATAGGAAAAAATACACAGCTCAAATATAGAACAAACAGACTGTTTCTTTATTTAAAGGACTCTAACTTAAACACTAGACAGAGCAAAAGCCTGATAAGACGATTGTCTGGATTTTATTATAATTATTTAGGGTACAGTTCTGGTTTCAAAAAATATATATATCTAAAATATAAGATATGTTTGTGATTACATTTTCTATAGGTTAAGAGACAGAAACTCAAAGTTCCTCATAACCTCTCTTCTTTTTCTCTCATTGGTTTTTAGCTGAACATACACAGACCCTGTGTCACTGGGCTATTTTTGAGTTTTTAGGACACTGCTGAGTAAATATATGAAACATAATGCAGATTGTTTTTTTTTAGAGCCGGATTTTTAAAATATAGGTACGTTTTTGTTAATTTTCCACCTAGAGCTGTAGAAATATAGGCAAACATCACAGCTCAAATAAGGCAAAACAAACTGACTGAAGACAAGACAGAAGTAACTACTTACTAGTAACTAGTAGTGAAAGTATTTACATGAGCCCTAAATATCTCCAACCTAGTACCAACACACCCTTTACTTTATGTGTATAGCTTAATTAGTTGTGTTTACCTTTAGTTTACCCATTACTATCTCAGACTCTGAAACTGACTTTTATTCCTTTATTTCACATTTCAAATGAGAAAAACATCCTCGTATTTATTTAAAGGTCCTGATCAAAAGTTTTTCAGTTTGTTTTCTGAACATCTTTCCAATTTTTTATCGGCTGCTTTCCCACTCATTTTCACTCGGCTGCTCATAGTGGACAGTTATTGGTGTTCAGCAAAGTGTATAAAAACAGGCAATAGGAACGAACAGCAGAAAAAAACGGTGGACCTGAAGATATACATATGACATGCAAGTTATAACAATAAAAATATGAGTATGTTTATGTGTTTGAAATATAGCAAAAAATATGCGCATCCATTCATCTTCTGCCATTTTTCTATTAGGGTCACAGTCCCCTTTCTCCAGTTGGCTAAAGTAAGGTGCAACCCGGATCGGTCACCACTCCTTCACAGGGCAACACACACAACCATGCACACACACTTAAGGTCAATTTTAGAGTCAACTGGGATACAGTTGGAGTACCCAGTGTGAACTCATGTATGCAAAGAGAGAACATGAACAATGCCGAGAGACTGTAGGCTGGAAATGAAACCTATTTAAAGTGTAAAAGATGCTACAAGTTGCACCACAGAGCAGGCAAAAAAAGGTGCAGGTCGAGTCAAGATGGACAAAGTATGGTCTGCTACTGAATTACAGTAGTTCCTTTCTACCTTAAGAGTCACTTTGTCGTTTTATACTGTCATAACCAAAACCATAAACTTGGCAGACAATTTGAGGCTCTTTAGTAAGTCTATGAATTCACCCATATGGTTAGATAATTGCTAAAACAATTAAAATTTTTCCTCTCCACTGTTGCTACAAGCATGCTTAGTGTGAGGGATTGTATTTGAGTCAATGAGTCAATGCAATCAACTGGTTTTCCTTAGATAGAAAACTTTATCAATTTGACTGTATGATCTGGTTGAACTGTAAAGTGCCTTGAGATGACATGTGTTGTGAATTTGGCGCTATAGAAATAAACTGAATTGAATTGAATTTATGAATCAATGCTTCTATGTTCCTTTTGTGTGTCTGCTTCTGTCTCCTTGAACCACAGTTAGCCTCAGCGGAAGGCAACTCACACTGACCCTGGTTCTTCTGGAAGTTTCTCCATTGTAGCTGCATGCTTGCTTGGTGTGAAGGATTCTTGAAGAGTCAATAAGTCTATGCAAGCGATTGACAATTTTTGCTCGACCAAGAGAAGCGAATTCTGCAAGGTCAAGGACACAATGCAAAAGAGTGGGTTTCTTTAGATACAACAGTTGTAATGAATGTATCTGTATGATTTGATTAAATTGGCTCTGTAGAACATCTTACATACAGTATGTGTTGTAATTTAGTGTTCTATAAATAAAGTGAATTCAATGGAAACCAGGAGAAAGTAGAGCCAGAATACGATTGGGGAACCATCTGTTAAAACCTCTTTTACTGGGAAACTTCTGCTATTTTTCAAATTAAGTTGCATCTCTGTGAGAGACTGTTGGCAGCAAAATATAAATCTGTAATCAGTTCTTTGATAAGTTATCCCATCAACAGAGCCCAAGTTTTTCCTTTGAAGGTAGAATTCAGGAGGTCAGAGTTACAGTAGATAGTAACCCACCTGAAAAATGAGTGAAAAGCAGCCCAAAATCCATGGAAACATACAGAAATCTCGAAGAACAACTGATTGAGACCATTTCAGAAATTTAATTAAAGTTTGGTCTTTTAAACAGAGTATAAAGAATTGACCAATAATACGACCTTTGCTGAGAGTTGTTTATAAAACTAATCTGTTATTGAAGGTGTTTCAGATCTGAAAAGCTGTTTTCAGTCACAAATTGATAATTAATTTAGAAACAACTTTTGTTTTGTAAACAGTCCACAAGCAAAACTAAATAAGATATCAACCTGACCGTTGGGGCTTTGCAATTTGCGCAACTAAGATATACAATGTTAATTAGTGAACATTAAAGGCCTGAGCATTTAATTTGACCTTTTTAAAATTATTTTAAAGTCATGTTGCTACATTTTTTCTCAAATTTCCTTTCAACTTTTTAAATCAGTTTAAGGTAACAAAATTTTCTCAAACTCATATTTGTATTTATATGGCAATTTGACTAAGAGACAAATGAGCCTTAAGGATATATTCTTTCCATATATTGTCATCCAATGACTTTCCTTGAAATGTTTTAACAATGAACATAAAGAAGGGCTTGCAAAACATAAAAAGCAAAAGGAAAAAAACAGCACAAAAATGACAGTAAAGGCAACTGATATAAAAGAAAAAGCATTGATAAAAGTAAAATCAACATTTTAAAGCAAATATTGATCCGATCTATCAAAAGCTCCCCTAAAAACAGATTAGATGATAATACAACGTGCTTTACAGCAGAACTTTCCGTACAGAGTACAACACAGCTGTAGAGGTCAGAGTGAGAGATGAAGAGCTGCCAGGTGACTGTACAATCCCAGAATGAAAGGGGAATCTAGAAAAAATGTTTTTTAATCTGGAAACAAGCATGTCTGGGGTCTGGTTGTCCTTTAGAGCTGAAATAAGTCCTCATCCGATGTTCAGACTGTATTATTTAGCAGATACCCTAATACCTACGTACCTGCTCGCAAAAAAACTTGGATGAGGAGGGCACACGAGTCATCTCAGAGGAGATGGGGAACGCTGACCCCTGCCATGTTTCCGCCATCTGCTGTCCTCCAGGAGGAATTTAAAACAGGACAGTTTTACATTTTGCTGATGCTTCTGTCAGTGGGGCTGATTTCCAATGAGCGACAAGGTGAGAACAGGTCGGACCCAGCGATATCATGCACCAGGCCCAACAACAAATATATATTCTGGACAAACAATTTGCAAGTGAGGCTATCAAAAAAATGTGAAAACTGAGCTAAAATGCATGGATAAAATGATTTTAGTTGCATTAGATCACATTTATATGCTTCTCTAACAGGCTATTTCAATTGTAATTCAATCCATCCATTTTCCGTCACGCATATCCCAAGCGACGTCGCGAGGTGTGCTGGTGCCTATCTCCAGCCGTCTACGGGCGAGAGGTGGGGTACACCCTGGACAGGTGGCCAGTCCATCACAGGGCAATCCATTGTAATTGTTTTGACAAATTAAAATATTAATTTTGTTTAGCTTTGTGATTCTAATAATAATAATTGAACTTTAATGATCTAACACTGGAGAAATTTATATCTACATTTAATGCAGTGGGCTGCCATTGTGCAGCGCCTGGAGAGCAGTGTAAGGTTGAGGGTCTTGCTCAGGGACCCAGAGTGGCAATCTGTAGGAGTTGGGTTCGATCTCAGAACCTCAGGACTCTACGCTCTATGCTCTAACCATGAAGCCGTAACTCCTCTTTAGGTTAATCACCACAGATTTATAAGGAGTTGAAACTAAAGAAGAGTTTTATTGTGCACATAATCTCCTTATACAGGTGTAATAACAGATGAGTGAAGCAGCTGTGGTGTTTCTGATGGATTCTGCAGGATTTCCAACCTTTTTTCTGTTCACCTCTTACTCCATGTAAGGGTTATTCAGCCTGTTTTATAGCATTTTATATCTACTGATTTTAATGAATTGTTCCTCCAGTAAATACTAATTTTTTCTTTATCATTACTACATTTGCTTGAAACAGCCACTGTTTGCAAATAGGTTCATTTCGACCACACAGTTATATGATCATATTATCCATTCCTATCCCAGAACGGCTTTAAAGAGTAATTGGAAAACAAAACTGAGAACAAGACTGCTAAGAGACTGCTTATCATGTCTGTCAATGATCTGAATGCAGCTCAAATAGTTTTTTTTAAGGAGTTTCATCATCAGAATACCATTTGGCTAAATGTGACAAAGACTGCTGTTTGTTTACAGAAAATCCCCACAGGTGGCCTCTAACTTGAAGCATATTCATGTGGCGTTGTTTTCCAGCAGGTTTCCACATCCATCCTAATGTTTATTTTTGCGGTAGAGGAAAATTAAATTATTAGATTTTTTTTGTTTGTTTTTTTTTCTGTAGAAGCAGATATTTCATGTCCTGACAAAATCCTTCTCACTGAAAATAAATGTGAACATCACCATTAAAAAATAAGTTAAATGAAAGATGTCCTGATACAGTTTTTACATTTCCGATTTGATACCGATATTGACCCGATATGATATTAGTAGGAATCATACCAGCTTACTTATTTTATACAGTAGAATGATAGAAAAAGGCTTGATCAGGTAATATTATTAAAACAGGGAAAAATAATCACGAATCTCTTAACAGAAGCAGAGTGTTTCTAGCACAAAAATATCAGAGATTTTAAATTGCTGGCCGATAAGAACTGTTTTTTGGCTAAAACTTTGGAGGACCAAGAGAGTCACTGAAAAAGAAAACTATCCATTTCAGCAATTTAAAAAGTATTTCCTAATTGCACATTTTAAAAGGAGTTATTAAAGAGGAGTTGTAAAATGTATTTATTTATTTAAATTTATTTTTTAAGTTTATTTATTTGAATGTACACTCATAGTTTGTTGTCATGTGTATCTGTCCTGGGAGACCGGCTCTCAGCCAATGAATGCTGGGGATAGCCCCCCAACAACCCTTCAAGAACAATTAGCTGTAGACATGTAGGCATATTATTTAAAAATCCATATTTAAAAAGCTTTGAATAAAGTATAAAAGTTAAATTATTTTGTCACTCAGAAAATGAAACTGAAATATAAATGACTGAATTTAGTGTAAAGCGCTTTGGAGTCCCCTAACTTGGAAAGGGGCTATAAATGTACAGGCCATTCACCATTAAATATTTAGGGAAGATTTTCATGCAAATAACTATTATATAATTATATATATATAAAATGATTATTGTTTCAAATAAAACAAAACATATTCAAAATTTTTCCACATAACATCTTCATATTTTTGGAGATAAACTTGTATTTTGCGCTTGTATTTTGGCACTCTAGGCCCAGTATTTATTGTGTAATTTAAGCTACAGGAATATATTTTGTATCATAATGTTTTCTTTAGCCCAGTTTTCACACATGACTATAGCTGACCTGCATACTGCAACGATCCTCAGTCTGTTTGCATTATGGAAGAAGCTGAAGAGAAACCTCAGTTATATCTCACTGTCATTGGGGCCTTTGTGCATTGAGCTTTCTAAATTAGAAATCTTTGACTCCTTTCAGTTGACAACAGCGGCCCCATAGGTCCCAACAGAAGCACACAGGTTATACTTTACAGTCCTGTAAAAAATGCATTCGAATGAGAAGTCACTGAGTAGAAGACGTGCATGCTGCACCCAGAGACAAATGGGACGAAGTCTGCAGGGCGATGCGTTACACAAAGAGGCACAAAGCTTGATGAGAAGAAGAGAGAAAGAGAGTGAATGCATCTTCTTCTTTGTCTATACAATGAACTGCAAAGTATATTGCAGGCACAAAATGATAATGGGATACAATTAACTTCAAATGGTTTCACTGCACACATAAATCTTCTCCTCTGTAGGGCCACAAACTCCTTCCAGAGAGATAGATTTTCTAATTGCACATCGCTCTGTGTTGCTGTGCTGCTCACACTGTCATTGGCACAGTAAATCAGCAAGCCCTCAAGAGACTAAACCAAAACCATGATGAGTTGCTGAATTTCACTTTCACTGGATTATAAAAAGGAAAAGGAGCTGACATCCTTAAGTTGAAACACAATGGAGCTGGTTTACATCTCTGGATTTACCTAAAACCTGATTTTCGATCGCTTCAGATCTTTGTCAAACACCCTTGTTTGCTGAGGCGTTTTTTTTTGCCCCCTTGTAACATCGGATCACTGTAAATTAAAACTGACAAATCATCAGCGTTTCATACTCCCTCTGCCAGAGATGAAGGCTTGAATGAAGCTTTTCACACATTAATTACAACCTGACAGGAGATTAACTGTTAGAGGAAACAGCAGAAGTGCTGATGAGATGTTCAAACTGACACTTGTCTGGTTTGAGTTCCTCTCCAAGTTCAGCATGAGTTAACATGAGATAAGGTCTGTTCTTCTCTTTTGTTGAAGCTCAAGGCGATCTTTGCTGGACTCACAGAGCTGCAAACAGATTGATCTGTCAGTGCAGAAGCATTCCACATTCGTCTGCTGAAAACATACAATTCAAGAAGCCAAAGGAATGAAAACCGCTGTCCATGTTTAGTCCTCAGACTTCCTTAATTCTGGAGACCAAACTGGAACAAAATAAACGACATGGAGTGAAGTCTGAGCTTTTAACTGATGTGTGTTTGTTCGAGTCACTGCAGAGCTAATGAAAGCCACTCTGATGTGGATTTTCTCTCCTGCATAAGCTCAGCCGGGGTCACGACAGCTGCCATGGGGGGTTGAAGAACTTGATGGAGTGAGTCTTGGCCCACTTTGCAAAAACAGACTTCTCAGTGATAAAGCGATGTCCGCCGTAGGGGGCGCTCTCATGGAGATGGTACTCTGCACACTCGTCCCGACTGCCCGCCTCGTAGTAGTGGTAGGGAACCTTCCTGTAGCCTTCAGTCCTAAGAGGGTGAAAGAGACGTTATCAGACATTTATATTTTTCTACAGATGTGGAAGAGAAGATCTTTTACATGAATTAGGTGATAAAACCTTTTGTGTTGAAGAAGAGATATAATCTGACAGTTGATTTAACCAGCTATAAGGTCTGGACATCAAATCATTTTTGGACAGTTGGATGCATAACCTCTATTTATAACAAGTTGTTCTGAACATTATTTCAAGTTCAGTGAGATTTAATGAAAAAGGTCTGGGGAGATACAATTTTAAAACTAGCCACACATTTTCAGTTGGATTAAGGCCTGGACTTTTTCCAACATGAGCTCTAACAAAATGTTCAGGCTCGTTGTCCTTAATTTCATGCTCTAACATATTCCTAACATATCTTCCAAGACTTTCCCTGGTTTAGTCTCTACACCATTTATCACTAACACCTACGGCTTGTTTCCTGCTGAAAAACGTGTCCCCTCATCCTGATGCTGCTTCCACCGTGTTCTAATTGGGCTGGTTGTTTCAGAGTTGATGTGCAGCCTTAGTTTTCTACCACATGTAATTTTCTAATGTTTGGTATAAAGTTCAGTTCGCCTCTCTTCACAGTGTATTCTCCCACTTTATGCTACATCAACACATGGCTTGTTGCAAACTTAATCAAGACCCAACAACAGCTTTTTTCTTGTACATCTTACATAAACGCAGGATTTAAAGGCTGTTCTTATGTAGATAGACTCTCCCACCTGAGTTATGGATCTCTGTAATTTCTCATGCCGTTTTTCTCCTATTTAACTTGCCTTTGGAAGCTTTTTTACTATATGTGCATGTTACAGGCATGTATTCTTAACATATTTTACCCTGACCTGTTTGCTGTGCTTTTTGGTTTTCATGATATTTCTTTTCCTGTCTTCTCTAAAAAAAACCTGTGAGGTCATTTCATAAAAGTGGGGAAATCTAACTAGGAGTATCAGATTATAGAGGGCTGAATAGAAATACAAGCCACAGCTTATTGGTAAAATATAATCATTATGTATTGCTCTAATACACATAATCCCAAAGTCTTTGTCTGTGATGTCAAAAGGAAAATGACAAGTGGCTGTCTGTGTATTTTTCTAAGATAGAGCAACAATGCTGTCCTAGGATTTTGGCCCACAAAATCAATAAACTGAAAACTGATTGCCAGTATTAAGGCAACAAATCAGACTGGCATGAAACCAGTTCAATGCAGAAATGTTTACGCATAATGATGGTGAGGAACTGCACATGATCTCAAAGCCTCTAACACTGATAACGCTAATAGAAACGTGGAGAAAATTGTTTGTACACCTTGTTTGGTGAAAGAAAAAAATGCAATGGCCACATTTTATGGGTTTTTAACCCAAAACACACAGATAAAAACAGCCAAGAATGACTAAGGGACAAATATTGAACTATTCTGAAGTGGCCTTCTAGGAGCCCTGACCTAAATCCTATTGAGCATCCTTGGAAGCTCAATAGCTTCAGGAAAAGGCAGCCTTCAAACCTGAGACAACTGGTACAGTTTGTTCATGAGTACTGGGATAGTATGCCTGCTGAGAGGAGCAGAAGTCTTACTGACAGTTACAGGAATCATTTAATAACAGTGATTGATTAGAAAGGTTGAGCAACAAAATATGAAGTTAAGGTTGCCATAATTCTTGTCCAGGCCTATTTCATGGATTTTTTTATTTTTTATTATTCTGTTGACGCACGTTTGAAAAGAAACATCTGACTTTTATTATTTCATTATTATAGAATTGTCTTTTATTACTTTGGTCAAATTCATGTTATTTCTGTGACTGTGGTGTAACAAAAACTTTGGCCACATCTCTGATAGAAATAAAGAAATCACGGGAGAATACATACCATGTTTTTTGATTGCTCACCCCCCCATTACATATCTGAAACATAGGGACTTCAGGTTTTTAAATGTTTAGAAATAAATAACTACGGTCAAATCAAGCACATTTACATTTAAAGGGTTTCAAATAAATGAAGGCACATTCATTTACGGCAGATGGCTCAAAATGTTGTACAACTGGCCCTTATGGGGTTCTCTAACACCATGGCGGCACTTACTCCAAAATCAAAAACATGATAAATCTGCACCATGATAAAGCTTCTTTTTAACATGCCAACCCTTTTAGGATGAAGACTATTAGTGTTTCTTCCAGGACTAGTGTCTCAGTGGAGGTTCATTATAGACAGGTGGCTAGCTTCTGTTATGTCTGAATGACCTTTTACAGTCTTCAGCCTTGAATAAACGGAGACGTGCCACATTCAATCACCAGCCAAGTGATTTCTGACCACTTATCCTTTTCCAAACACTTTCATACAAAAACCTCTCCCAGATGGTTCTGTATAACACCATGTGGCGAGTCAGGTTCCCTTTCCTTGATCTCTGGGATGAACAGCCAAAATCGTATTAATGCTGTTTGATCTGAATGGGTACAAACCCCAGCTGCAGGGCTACAGAACTTATACAAAAGCTTTGGAAAGACAAGAAATTTACATCTGCACAGCAGTGTTTCTGCTATCTGTATTTTTATTCTAGCAAGAACAGAAAATAAAGTAGAGTGAACCTGATCCATTCAGTTTGTTCTGGCAACATGTAAACATACGCATACATTTGAAAAGATACATGATAGGGTTTTAAACCAATATCTAGGAGATAGGCATTCTCTTTAATATTCAAAGATGTACTTAAGGACCCTTAAGTAATCCTACCAGCTTGTCTGTTCATGGTCAAAGGGAGCAGGTTCCTATCTACAGCCTATTCAGGGGTAAATCACATGGGTAATTTGGCTGTAAGACATAGCCCTCACATTTACTCCTGGTTTAACTCCTGGACAGGTCACCATTTCATTGCTGAGCGTCTGCGCCTCCAGTCAAATGGGCAGATGATTTTACCAGCTTACCCTCTGCTTCACTTCATACTTCCCCATTGTTGGACCCTGTTTTTCTGGTGGCCCGCTAGCTTAATAAGCCTATTGCCTGATCAGGGAGACCTGGCTCTCTGCAACAGCCACACATCGTGCACAGCATTGACTAAAGAAGTTGACATCCTTAAAATACACGGTTCCATTAGGACCATATACAAAATTCACTTTAATGTTGTGTTTGTTTCATTTTTGTTGCTGGTTTGGTGGATGATTATTGAATGTTATGATTGGGCCAAGACTGGTTAATTGTCTGAAAACTGCTGCTATCCATATTCATTGTTTTTATAGATTTTCCCTTATTTAGCTTCTTCTCTTGGAAGTTTAAAGTGTTCCAAGTATTATTAAACAGAGTAAATATTTGCAACAGGTAATAATTAGTTTAATAATTTCAACTGCATTTGTCTGTGTTTATTTTATATCAGTGATCGGCTCTATCTAAAGGTCAGTGCTGAATCATCTCTTTTGAATAAAGAGCTTGATTATATAGAGAAACCACTTTTAGTTTGTTTAATGAGTAATAATTACGTATTGCAATTATGGTTTAAAATTCACAACTTTTTAACTTTTAAACTTAGCATACTTAACTTTTTAACTTTTAAATCTTCATATATACTGGTAAAATAAGTTAAGAATTGTTCGTTGATGATCAAAATGGTTATATCATCATATAAGACTGGTAGCTGCTAATCTCAATTATGTAGAATATCCATTTGTAATGAATTAATTTCAATAAAAAACATAAATTACCTATTATAATTTACAATAGAATTATTCAAATGTTAATAATAAAATAGCAATAATTGTACAACACTTACAAGGGTTCAAGCAATATTCTTAAACAAGGACCTATTACTTACAGACAAAACATTTTTAAATGTCTTAAGCATTTTTTTTTTTTTTTCAGAAATTAGTGGGAAGTAGCAAGGTTGTAAAAATACTCAATATATTGTATTATATTTGTCATATTTGTCTTAACTGTTGCTGCACTGCAATGAAGGCCCTGCACACTCATCAGAACAAAACCATAAACTACTGGAGAAAGTTTTAAATTCTGCAAACATGTTGAGTACAGCCAGTAAAAAACACAGCCATCCGTCCGTCTGACCATCCATGCATCTGGCCAGGTTATCAAAAACCTCTAGGTTAGTAAATGTCCAGTGTTCCTTTTCTGCATGATCACATGTTTCCGATCCCGTTTCTGCCCCACAACTTCTTTGCCTTTGCCTCTCCGCCGCCAGACTTCACAGTTTTCTGATATCTGCACATCTACAATGTTCCTGCCTCTTCACCACTGCCCCTCACCTTACTGACTGTCCTTTTGCACCAATATTCTGGATTCTCCCCTTGGATCACTCTGCATGACTCTGTCCAATTTCCTCTGACCCTTTTGTGTCCATGGACCAACAATCTCTCTCCTCTGGAAACCCAAAACAGAAAATTCTCTTCATTTGAGCATCACTAAACCCGATCTTGGGGTCATCCAACCGTACAGTGAAGTCACTGCTGCTGAGATCTGCAGAGGGCCCAACAACCTCTTCCTTCGTGTCCTCATGGATCCTGAGAGAGTTAGTGGCTCTTTCTCTGGGTGAAATATTAAAAGCTCGAATCAATCCAGTCACTAAGCCGATCTCTCCTTTTCAGAGATTAATGTCTTCCCTGCTGGGCGATTTGCTGCAGCATCTGCTGACTTCTTTGAATGAATCTTTTAATTGTTCCCTCTTGTGTCTGGCTGAATTTCGGGTCCTCTTTCTGGCATTTTACAGTGTACTGCCTTCATTACTTATCCATTTAGCTGTACAGATATTGGAAGTTGAAGTAACCAATAATAACAGCTTACATTGAAGATGTTCCTTGTAATAGAGATTGAGATGCATGTCATTCGAATATATCTGCTTCTTTGCAATGAGGGTATTAAATGCATTGATGTTGAGGAGATAGTTACAGTTCAATTTACTAAGAAGCTCTGATAGTATTTCTGTGATTCTCCAGATAATGTAGACCCTATTTGAACCATTAGATTTCCAAAAGACTGATGATATTTTCAAATAACAACATGTTGGATTTGGTTCAAAGGCCAAAAATGAAATGAAAGAAAGAAACTTTGCAGCATTGGTACCTGCAGAAGTCTCATTACTGTTCAGAAGAAGCAGCCTGAAAAATATCTCACTAATACAAAAAAGAGATAACTTTGCACCTTTCAGCTTCCACACTAATTAATGTTATTGTTTAGCGCTCAAGTTAGCTGATGAAAACATCAGATATCTGAGTTCTTACACCTGATTATAGCCAGCATCTGCTTTCCTGCTGTATCTCAAATGGAGATTGATTAAAGTACTCTACTGAGTTTGTTGCAGGAAATTAATAAAAGTGTTTAGATACATGTTTACATACATATGTTCAAAGTCTGATCAGAGCATATCAGTGCATTTATTTTTATACTAGATGTCAAAAATCTCAACTCCAAATACCTCATTTTGTACTGTCTGTGATTTCTATTTACATAAACAGGTGAGATCAAACAAAACAGTTTTCAACAATCTCCGCCCTCGTTTAGGGGAACAAAATCATATAATATATATAATATAATATAATGTATTTGCAATATTATTACTTATTAAACTCTGGCTTGCTGCTGGCTTAGCAATTAAACATAATACAGTTTACCTGCTGTGTGTGTGTATGTGTGTGTGTGTGTGTGTGTGTGTGGGTGGGTGTATGTATAGATGGATATAACAGCTTCCTCCACCAAAGTCAAATACCGTATTTTCACGACCATAAGGCGCACCGTACTAAAAGGCGCACTCTCAGTTATGTGTCCCATTTCTGTATTTAACACACACATAAGGCGCACCAGACTATAGGGCGCCTTTTTTATATACAGGTACATGTCCTCTACTACCTTTAAATACCTCTACTGCGTATTTAAAAATACAGCGGGGGCAAAACTGAGTATGACTGTGCTTTATTCATGTATTTATTACAAAGTATTAATCAAACCTGGCAGCTGGCCGTGAGACAGACACATCGCAGATGACACAGCGCTGTGATCACTTCTAAATTAACTTAAAGTCCTGAAACCTGCCGACGGAATATGTTCGCTTTTATGGGTGCCTGCAGTTTAAATTATTTAGATGAAAAAACACCTGCCAGCCACCGCGGTGAAGAGGAGGAGACCCGGCCCAGAGGCTGCTGTTGAATTAAGTTTTCAGGTAGAAAAATAGAGCGGGAGCAAAACTGAGTATGATTGTGCTTTATTCATGTATTTATTACAAAGTATTAATCAAACCCATCAAAGTCATCATCCTCTGTTTCTGAATAAAACAGCTGCGCTAAATCAGACATGCCAATTTCCCCTTCTTCGCTGTCAGTCACTTTCCGTGCAGCGCGGCTCCTCAGAAATAATGCTGGCTTTTGCGAAAGCTTGAACAACAGAGCCAGCAGACACGTTAGTCCATCTACAATCCATCCGCTAACGGTGGCGTAACTTGCCCGGCGCTGCCTTCCACTTATCCTGAAACTGTGGTCTCTGTCGGCCATCCATCGCTCCCACGCCGCTCGCAGCCTTACTTTGAACGGCCGCTTCACACTGATGTCGAGCGGTTGAAGCTCCTTTGTCAGACCCCCCGGGATAACGGCGAGCACAGTATCCATTTGATTCACCTTTTTTTTCACATCGGCTGTGAGATGGGCACGCAGCGATGGTGATGCGTGGAAAAAACCACCTGGTCTCCTCACATACACCTGCCTCAGCTACGCTTTCATCATCTCCTCATCCATCCAGCCTTTTTCATTTGCGTTAATATCATATGTCATCAGAGCACTGTGTCTGTCTCGCTGTCAGCTCCCAGATCAGCTTCTCTGATTGGTTGATGCGGCGCGTCCAGCAGCAAAACTTCAATTTTTCCATCTCGAGCAGCAGCAGCGCGTTGGCAGATGCTTAAACGCTCCTGCTGCTCAAAACGCGCTGCGGGACCTTTTGCTGCACCTATACGCGCATCAACCATTTACTTTGCATGTAAACTCGCTGCTTCTGCTGCACCTGCTGGGTCCGGTTCACACCGATGTCGGGCGGTTGAACAGCGAGCACAGCGTTAATTTGTTTCCCCATGTTTTTCACATCAGCTGTGAGATGGGCACGCATGGAGTTACATATTAACAGCGATGGTGATGAGTGGAAAAAAAACACCTGGTCTCCTTACATTCAGCCACTCTTTCATCATCTCCTCAATGAGGTGGTCTCAAAAGTCGCAGTTACAACACACATAAGGCGCACCGCACCAAAGGGCGCACCGCACATTTTGAGGGGAAAAAAAGACGTTTAAGTGCGCCTTATAGTCGTGAAAATACGGTAACAATGACTGTATATATGTGTGTGACTTTGTAAATTTAAGTAATAATTTCTGTATGACGAGGAATCCACAAATTAACTTAAGTCCAATTGCTATTTTTTCTATTTTTGTTTTGCCCAACAATCTGGTGGGCAAGTGAACAAAGCTTTTTGTAGGTGTTACATTTCTTCAAACCTGATTTTGAGTTTGCTTCTAATTCTGCAAACCGGCCACAAAGGCATATCTGCAGAGCAAGAGTAAATAGCTTAATAGCGTTAATTTGAAAACACGTTAATTCAATGCTGCAGACACAACCCAAGTAGTAATGGGGACCATGGCATGCTGATGAGTACTGGATATTAGTTGACTTCGCTTTGATTTTTGAAGCATATAAAGGGCATTGATTTTAGTGCACTATGAGATCTCGACTATATAATATAGCATTCTGTCAGAATGCTGTAATATATTGCCATTTTTGGTTCAAACAACACAAAAGGCCTTTTTCTGACTTGCTGAATGAAACTGTTACACAGAGGACCCCTCCAGACAGTGCTCTGTAATTTGAGCTGCACAGCACATTTCCTGTCAGCAGGTTTTCCTTTGATTAAACAGAAATGCCTGTTCACAGCAAATAATTAAATAATTCATAAATTAATATTATTCATTTTTACAAAATAACCAGAAGAATAAGTGTAAAAACATGCAGCAAATGTTTACTAGTTTAGTAAAAAAAAAAAAAGTATTTTCCTCTGAATTTTCTCTGGATTGATGGTGTTTACAGTTTGCATTAAAAAAGAACCTAACAGGAGCTTGCAGGAGCCCAATGCAATGTATCGGGTTCATTGTGTCCTCTGCTGTCTGCTTCTAATGGCGAGTGACAGCTTTATGAGCGGATGACTTGTGTAGCAATTGCACTGGGAGGATGAACAGATTCAGTAAGAAACAGCCATTACAGCAGCAACCAGTGAGTGACTGTGGCTCTCCTAGATCACCGTAACACAGCCCAATCACTGCCTCTCCTCTGTGTCACACAGTGACGCGTTCTGGAGTTAACAGATAGATTTAATTTCACCCTTTCTGCAGCACCTGTTGCACTCCACTGCTGAACAGCTGCTGATGTCAATTTGAGCTGCACCTTATAATCTGAAAACCCCACACTGCTTTATGCAAACACTGAGTTATCAGTTCGCAAAGTTAGAGAAACACAATATCTACAGGCATCAATGAGGATGGAGGGAAATAAACGATGCACAGGCAGGGAGGGAGAAAACCATCCCTTAACTGTCTGGCTAAATCATCAAATCTCCTCTGTGCGTGTTGAATTACCCCCTCCTCTCTGCCATGTGTCTGTAGCTCTTATCTCAGCTCCCGCTGCGCACAGGGGAACGTACAGAGGATAAAAGGCAGGATTTCCAGCGTGCATTAGGGAAGCGAGCTTCATTCGGAGGATAGATGAGGCTCAGGTGGAGCTACGCTAGTTGATGGGTTCATCGAGGGTGCGACGTGTTTAGAGACAGTGCCGCTGAACTCGGAGCATCATGCTCCTTATCCCTCTGCGGGCCTCGCAGCCTGACAGTAATAACTCATCCAGGATTCAGGGAAAAGACAGCAGGCCTGTCCACAGGTAGTACTTAAAGTAAAAGGTAACTAAAAGCCCAAACAGACATACACGAAAGGACAAAATTGAATCAGAATCAGCAACAAAAATACAAAAAAGGTAAAAAACATAACTATGGATATAAGGAATAACATTTTGGTGACTGAATGCAACCTTTCGGTTTTTAAATCAAACGGTTTGTAGTTTAACATATGAATGAGGATATTTTGTATCAGTTTCCTGAAGCACCCCCCTCTTCAAACACAGAGAAAAAAACAGGGTGGTATCAAGGCAGCAGGTTGAGCAATCCCTGGTGTCTTACTTGCAGTAGGTGTCATTTATCATGCCGTAGATATGGATCTCTTTGCACATGTCCATGGCGAGGATAAGTGTAAACCAGCCTGTGCTCAGGTAGGAGCCCGACTGAATCCTGCAAACAAACAAAAAATAACGCATCTCGGTTAGCAGATATTTCTCCAAGCTCCAATTATAATCATTTGCAATTACAGACTTTTATTAATGCTTTTCCAGTGACCTATGCACCCATTATTCATACATTACAACTAAGTAGTTTAATTATTGTAACAAATGCTTCCACTGTGGGCAGCGCCTCATGTGATCCTCAGCTCAAATGTAAATTTAAATGTCAAGGTATAAGCAGATCAGCAGAAACAATATCACCTTTTAAAACAGAAATTCAACTCCATATATTTTTAAATTCAATAAAGAGCATTTTAATTTTGGAGCATTTACACTTATGGAGACATAAAAACACTTAAAGGCAGAGAAACAACAGGGAGCTCCTGAATTATTGAAGCACCAGTTGGAAAAATCAATAACACGCATAATCTTTTCATGAGCCCCAGACTATTAGTGTTTGATTTGTGATGTTCAAAGTTAAAACATGTCAGCATTGATCAGAACATGGTGCTGAGTTTCATCTTGGCTAGAGGTTTAAGGAGAAAGCCTGATGTTTACATTTAAAGTCTTATTCTGCAGGTCTGACTGGGCAGGGGGTCGCAAACTCCCTGGTGGTGCTAAGCAAACAAAAATATACCGAGGTAATGATAAAAAAGAAATATTCAAATATATATGCAATATTTATTTTATTTGGAACCTGCTGTGAATTTCTGAACTATCCAGAGAATTGATTTTTATTCATACAATAAGAAAACGTTCATCTGAAATCAGGCTTTAATATTAAGGGTTTTTACAGGTAAAGCTGAAGCTTTATATATTTTACTCAAATGTATAAAATACACGTTTTTGTTGTCTGACATTTTTTGTTTTAGGTCAATTATTTATTTATTTTTTGTTAAATGCCAAAGTAATACATTTTCTGAAAATGTATTTGTTGGACTATTCAAGTTGACCTTCAATAGGTATAAAATGCACTTAAACAGTTTAGGAAAAAAAAAAGAACAGGAGGTGAGATGTCTTCCCAGTTTAGTAGGTTTGGAAATCTTTTACTGATATTCAATCAGGAGGGGACTCAACAAAGTGTTAGATCAAAGGTACAGTGGAGGATGTTCTTTTTCCAGGTGGATCATCAAAATAAGTCGTCCTCCTAATTGTCAATCATTCTGGTGATATGTTTACGTAAAGCCGTCCTACGGGCTCGTCCCCAGTTAGCTACCTTTTTCTGTGCATACGCACTTTTACGTGCTGGGCTACAGTTTCAGCCAGTCATTGACGCTCACCCTTCTCACCGCAGTTCTTTGAAAATAGTTGAGAATCGTAAGAGAAAAAGTGTCTATGAAGTGTATGAGAAGAAGAGTAAGGCCTCAGAAGACAGAAACAAGACCAGAATGTTTTTGAGAGATTCTTTCAAGCGATGGCATATACTGGAAGCACAGGTCGCGCTTCCCACTGATACCTCGGAAGCAAAATTTCAAATTGACAGCTTAAGTTTGGGAGGCTATTTGGAGAAATCTATTTCACATCATTATTAGTAAAAGTTATGTACCTCTATATTGTAACTTTGGTAGTTATACGGTTGCCAAAGATCCTTATTTACCTGACAAACATGTCCAAATTTCCATAGCAGCACACAGACTCACACAAAAGCAGGTCATGATTTTTTTTAATGTTCCAGAATTCTTATTTGCAGGGAAACTTCTTATATATAAATATGAATGAGATAAGATCCATCCAAGCGACTGTCTTATCATTGTGTACCCGCACATCCTCCATGAGAAATGGACTCATGCATGCTCTTGCACTAGTTTAACAAGTGTTCCCTCTCGGGAGTGGGTATAGGGTTGTGCATGTGCATTTTTTCTTTTCAAGTGGAGAGGGTGAGTCTGTTCAGAAATTCATGAAAATCCTCCACTATACCTTGAATATTAGTGCTCACACATATCAACCAGTTCGGGGAATGCCGGCCTTGTCATGGTCCTGGTCTGATTGTTCCTGTTATCCATTTGTTGTCCTCTGCTGCCCTCTTGTGTCCTCCCTTCCTCTGTGTCTCTGTCCTGCCAAGCACCTGCTGCCAATTTCCTCGTCAGCTCTCTCTCTGTCTCTGTCCCCTTTAAAAGCCCTCCCTGTTCAGTTCCTGTTTGCTGGATCCTCGTCAAACATCCCGTCTAAACTTCTGTCTGTGTTCCTCGTCTCTCCCTGGCTTCTGGTTTGATTAATCCCTGATGTCTCCTTGGTTCAAGTTCATTTGTAATTTTCAGTTGGACTCTGATTCCTGCTTCTGGACCTGTGAACCTGAATAAACAGTCTTAATTCACCTCTGCCTACTGGTCTCTGCGTCTGGGTCCTCCACACAAACACCTATTCATGACAGGCCTAGTGGTCAGAGCGGTGCTCTTGTGCTCAGAGAAGGTTGCAAATACCCCGTTGGATGCCCGCAGCCTCCACTCTGGGTCTCTGAGCAAGACCCTTAATAACACTGCTCCCCAGGCGCCGCACAATGGAAGCCCACTGCTCCCCAAGGGGATGGGTTAAATGCAGAGGCAAATTCTCCAGTGAGATTAATAAAGTTCTATTATTATTAAAGCAGATATTTAATTTATATCTCCAACAAGGATAAATGAAACCATTCTAGGTGTGAAAGTTTTACTTTTCTTGCATCTAACTCAAAGTGTCGACAGATTACATACCACTTGTGATGAGAACACAGCATTATTCATCAAAATCAGATGTGCAGATCATAGCTGATCTCAGATAAATGAAAAACAGCAGATAAATAACATTAATAAATACTACAGATGTTTTTCCCTCTTTGTTTCAATGAAAACCTGACAAATAACTAAATTTGCATCCAAAATCTCAAGCCAGACAAAAGGGTTAGTTAGCATTCAGCAGAGATGCTTTAAAACAGTATGCAACCATGCAACCTTATTAAATGCAGTGTAGCTAAATAGGAACAATGGGAGAGTAGTCTATTATTTATTTTTGGAACTGTGGATAGCTGGGGGAGAAAAATGGTGAGTAAGTTTTGAAACAAACATACTTTGCAGAGTTCAAATTGCTTCTGTCTCTAGCTACTCAATAATGACTGCATTGGCATCTCAGCACTGCACTATACAACTCCGATGATGTGATTGACCCAGTTTACATCTGTGTCTTACATGCTAAACTAATGACTAAGTCCAGACAAGCAAAAACTTTGTGGAGTAGTCAATATCCATCCTAAGGAAACAGAGAAATAAAACATCTCCAAACAAAAGCCAAGAGGCCCATGGTAACTCATGGGGAGTGGGGAGGGGATATGGGGACAGGGTGGCAAGTCAAAAACCAACGACTGATTGTAAAATGATCAAACACATTGTACAAGAAGAGGAAACTCCAGCGGTTGTTTAATGCTGAATTCACTGGAAATCAAATGAGAGAGGTGCATTCGACAATGCTTAGAAAACTCAGTCACCCAGTCATTAAACATAAGGCTTTAGCACCTCTTTCATATATGGATGCCATTTTCTATATTTTTCATCAAGTCCATTCACTTTTTAAGCTTTTTTAGCACTTTTCCCCATTTATCCTGATTTATGTATCTTGACTCATTTACTACAGTCCAAACAATAGATTATACTTATTTGACATACAGTGAAAATGTTTTCCTTGATAAATTGTAGATCTATCGTGAAGTTCATGAGAAGTTGTTGACAAGACTGTCAATTCTGTACTATTCAATTGGAAAGGAGGTCAGAAGAAATATTTTTTGCACTTTTGCTAGTTAAGTTTTGACTATAGTCAGGAAAAAAAAATTATTTCATTGATAGCTACAATACAATGGCAAAAAATGTCAATTTGATTGAATGACAAATACCAATTTCAAGTTATTTAAAAATTCTTCAGTTGATCCCAGTATTCAAAGAATGAAATAAAATTAATATCAATCAACATTCCAAACGGTTTAAAAGGTTTCTGTCCAAGCAAATCCAGGCAATTGCACTGAGACATGCTTGTTTCTCCCACATGAGCATGTAGGAACATAAGCGACAGTAGAAAGGAAAACTGCCTCTAGAGGAAGAAACCTCCAACAGAAACCGGGGTCATATTACACCAGAAATTAAATTGCTTCCCTGGTTTCAGGCATCTAAGAAGACAGTTCAAAATTTTGTTGATGGTCAATAAGAAAATTAACAGTAATGGCCTGAAATATATTTAACTGGTTGAGTATGAATCATATAGAACCCTTAGGTCATCAGAGACCTGATCACAGATCATCACCAAAGACCAGAATGAAACTAGAGAAAGCACATTGTTTCCATGTTCGTTAGCTCTGGAAAAAAAACGATGTGCAGAAACTCTTAAATCTTTTAAATCAACAGTGAAAGCATCACTGTTTACTGCAGCTTTTCAATAACGTTAAAATATGGTCCTTTTATTTTATTTAAACATTTTATGGTGATTCTCACTCTGTCTTGGAAATGTTTCATATCAATTTCAGAAATGCAAAAAAGGAACTGAAAAAATAACATATTTTGAGAATATTTTAACCATTTATTGTAATTCATTTTCAAGAAATTTCTATATGACATGGATAAATCTTGTATAGTTATATTCTGAGAATTATAACTAAATTAATTTAGAAACCAATCAGCTGCTAAGTTTGTTTGTTTGGCTTTTGGGTCCGACAAACTCCTTCAAACAGTGAGACACACAAACAAGTAACACTGGGGGTTGTGTGGAGGTGAAGCTACAAAAAAAAAGCAATTTGTCGTAATAAAGGGCTAGAAGAGCACGGAAGGGAAATGGGACATTATCACTGATACGCAGCTCAGCAGCTCTCAGCCGTCTGAGCTGTCAACACATCACCATCACCCTGCATTATTCATTAGCCGTTTGCCACTCCGCCAAAAGACAAACAGGCTTGCACACAAACACAAGGCCAACACATGCACCGCATCCCTGGTGGAGGGCTAGATGTTCTGGAGTGAGAAGCCTTGCTGGAATAAATGGAGGGGGTGGGATCTGCTA